ATTGAACCCTTCTCTGTGGACACACTGTTTTAGACGTAGTGAGAGGACATTAAGAAACACAGATTTGGTATAATAATGCGAAAATTAAATTGAAGGTGATAATTGTGCTAAATACATTCTATTATTAATCCCTCATGACATTTAAAATTGAAAATATATATATATTTTTAAAGCTAATAGCAGTTACCCTTGCTGGACCTGTTTTGTCCCATGTCTCAAGAATGACTGACCTATTAATCTCCAATGACATAATCACCCAGTACATTTAATGACATACTGGTTCTAGTTTTACACATACCTGCAAACCTAATTTTGACCAGATCCAGAGGATGCAGCACTAGTGTGGACACCACACCTCCACTGAGACCTGCTATTAAATTCTCGATCTTCACATGACTGAAGAGTCTCTGCAGGCTGCCGGTGAGGGTCAGGGGGACAGGAGAGCCCGGGCTGGGACTGGGGCTCATGACTGCTCCCTTACTGCAGGTCAACACACAAAATCACCTAAGTTACTTTAACATGTCATGAACTGTCTTAATGAATCATTTTAAAGCATATAGGCCGGTAAAGAACTTTCTGGAATTTGTTGTTACAGCCGTTATGAGCCACTGTTTCAGCAATAATCAACGGGCTGCATGACCTTACCAGTTAATGTCAGATCATATGCAGTGACGGACAGCAGGGATGATTCGGAAACATGCTGAAACGGGAACATGGCGCTTTCCACAACACAAACTGCGCATGCGTACCATTGCACTTTCAAAATAAGAGTCTTTGAAGAGTACCATGACGAAACCGTCATTAGCGGACAAAAAATAAATAAAAAATAACTAACTAATATACTAAAATAAATTTTAAAAAGACCCACATTAAAAAATACAACTTTTTTATTTAATTTATTTTTGGACTAATCACACCATAACATTTTGTTGTAAAGTTTATTAATTAATGAGATCATGACTGTCAACAGTATATTCATTATTTATACCTTATTTTCTTCTACAATATGGCTTTTTTTCCTCTATTTTCCTTTTCTCTGTTATTATATATAATGTAAAATATGTTATTGTTCTCTGAATTTAAAAAAATTGTGTCATGATGAAATGATCATTAGTATAATCTGGTACTGAGAAACATTAAAAGGCATTACTTTTCAAATGTACTGTGAATAAAAGATGTATTATTTTCATAGGAGATTTTATTTATTTTATTGACCCGTCATTCATAACCAATTCATTAGACCAGTTAAGTCAAAATGTTCAAATCTCTCCATTTAAACAGGGGCGGTTCTAGACTACAGTAACTGGGGGGGCCAGACAGGGGCCACTTGTGCTTTTAAGGGGCACAATTTTAAAATTAATCTTAAACTACTTTAAGTAGCCTATTATTCATTCAGTCATTTTTCACCATGTCATGTATCGCTGCAATCTAGATGTAATCTATAACAATTTCAACTAAAATGAATGTTTCATCATGTTTCATTTATTTGACAAATAATTTTGTATTGTAGTGTCAGAGGCATCATTTTTGAGGTGGCACGAATAAAGGGGGGGGGAGGGCTCTCATGCTTGTCATATGACACACAGCAGCAACAAACAGATATAGGCTTATGTCTCTACTGAAAATAAAAATAATAATAAAACCATCACAGAAAATTGTAATGATTTCCACAACAAATAACATTACAAACCATCAATTTTTAACCATTAAAAATGTTTTTTTGCAGTGTGTTTTGGGACATATTCCATTAGGATTTATTGGTTTCAGGGGTTTTATTTTTTATTTGTTTTAATATTCCCAAAATATATCATGAAATATCTCGATTCTCAAATATGTGCAAGTAAATGCCTTTTTGCACCTGTAAAGTAGCCTAATAGTATTAATCTATTAACTTTGCATAAAAATTCGTCTTTTTACTTAAGTACCAGATATAGTGTCATACTATTAAATATATTTAATACGACTTACTTTGTATTTAATGTGAAGTTAATAAAAACATTGTACGTTACTAATTAGCCTATAACACTTTCATTGTACGAAAAGAGAGCAAAGAACGTTTACACTATCAAAGAACATTTTCACTTCAGTCCAGCGAATTCAAGCACTCTCAGAAACTCCCATAATAATCTCTAAAGCTGTTTACCTGTAAAATGAATATCTTACTTACATTCGTACATCTTCACTTTGTTGTTTCTGATGACATAATTAGCCAGAGATTTCAGTCAGCCTGCGCGCGCAGTGACGAAACAGCGTGTTTCAGCGGTGACTCATCTGAACGCCTCTGATTGGTCGTTGTATTCATAAACTCAACATAATAGTATGTGATTGGTTATAATGCGCAGCGCTTTAAAAAACGTGTGTGTCTCTGGCTCTGTGCCAGCCAGCGAACGCAGATTTGAATTAGCTGCTGGAGATGTTTTTCTTTTTTTATATGCATAGTTTACAGGACAAACTGCGCATTTCACAAATATAATTACACAAAGCATCGATTTTACATACAAAATGTCTAAATTAAGAATGATATAATAAACAGTTGTATGTATAATTATAATTACTTTATTCTATTAATAAAAACCACAACACAACGAAACGTATGATCAGTTTTAAAATAACAAATAGTAAAATGGTACCTTCATACTATTATATGATAAATAAATAACAATATATAATACAATAATAATATAGTTGTTACAAACCACTTCATAAGCATTTAATTGGTGGCACTTTTATTGTGTATGTAGTAAAAGTATTACGGCCAAAGCTTATCAGACGTCTTCAGACCATAAAGACCTCTTTATGCTGAACATTTCAGTAATTATAGATTCGGGTAATTAGGAAAAAATATTTAAATTATTTATCTCTCTTTCTGATCTGCTCCTGGGAGGCGTGCGTACGTGCTTAATATCGCGAGATTTATTGATTTGCCTGGCTATTCACCATAGCCGAGCCACGTACTTTGCGTAATCTGACTCCATTCATGTGAATGTTTCCTACGCCGCTGACGTAGCTGAGTTTTGCGGAAGTGGAATCAAGGGGAATGTAGGGCTGCCAAAGAACGGTCGGTTTCCAAAGCGGCACTTGAACGTTAATATTATGGGTAAGTTCCGCTCACTTTTACTATAATATCGTTTACCAAACATCGCCGTTTGAGTCTCGCTAACGTTTACGCGGCGTTTGTGTCTAGTCGAAGCATTTCGGTGGTTTAAATCGACGCTCGCTTAGTGTGTTTTGCTGTAATTTAGGTTAGTGATAGCGCGCGAGGCATTTCCTGTCAGTTTTTTTTCCCTCTCGTGAGTCATTGAAGAGCGAAAAACGGGTTACGTTCGTTAGAATTTAATCAATATTAACCAAACACACTCTATTTTCACAGCTTTTCTTAATTGTTAAATATTACTCGCACATAATTTGCAGTGATACTCCCTTTTAGAACACAAGCAAGCTAGTGTGGGTTAGCAGCTAATCACACAACAGCTGGAATAATGCAGTTATTTCATTTCTACATTTTGGTTAACATCAGTGGTGTTAAAACAGTCTTGAAGAGCCTCTGACGACCCTTCCGGCCACACTTGTATCAGTTTGTGAACTGGTTCACTTCTCGCGAGAGAGTCAGTGCGGTTGACTACCACAGATTAAAAGATTGAAAAATATGAAGAATTTAAACAAATTTACATAGCAAGATGAAATGGTCTATCCATGAAAGAGGACAACTTAAAGGGGTCATATGATGTTGCTAAAAAGAACATTATTT